GGGTCACTTGTTTTTATTCCCTTTTTTGGGGGGGTTCCCCCAGGTCTCTCTCTTCTTTTGCCCGCTTCCTTCACAGGTGACCAGCAAGCAGGGTGCTTTTGCTGTTGAGCCGGCGTCTCCCCGACTCCTTAGGGCGCCGACCGGCTTTCTTCCCTCTGTTCTGCCTGCTCTGGGTCCTCGTGGCCTGTCTGTGAGAGAGCCGGCGTCTCCCTCTAGCTAGGGAAACCAGCCGGCTTCTCTTCCTCCCAGTACTCCCTTGCGGGAGGTCACGTGACCGGCTCGCGTCCACTGAGCTCCCAGCAGCCCGCTGCCTCGGACAGAAGGCTCCAGCTTTCCCACTGCCGCAGTCCCCAGAAGCTCCGTCCTCTCTGCTTCTCTGGCGGGATCCCCCCTCTCACAGGTAGGGCTTGCGTGGGATCCTCAGCAGCGTTTATCGGGGCCCATTGAGGTGAAGGTGGTTATCTTGCAGAGAGTGCTCACATCGCACTCTCCCTTGCCGCCATGATCAGGCTCCTCCCCCCGCTAGCATCCCTTTTTACCTGTAAAAGTCCCCATTTACTTGTGCACCCCTCGTATTTATGGAACCAAGTCCACAGCACAAGTGTGCAGCTAACTTTGTGCAGCAAACCCCCTTCTTTTTATATGATTTAGGAACAAAAAAAAAAAACCTCAAAAACCTAAAAAATTGTATTTGGTAAACCTAAAGTAATAAATACATTTTGGTAACGTATGTATGTTAATATAATTGTGTATATTTTGTAATTCTGTCTGGAATATATAAATTACAACACAACATTCAGAATGGCATGATGCATGTAACGTCTGCAGTGTACAAAACGGTGCAGTGCAGAACATTTATAGCACAAAGAGTTGGGACAGTCCAGAATGCTTCATACTGTAATAAGATGGTGCAGAAAACAGAGCTCAGTATGAAACAGTCTGGGGCCAAAACTCACACAACAGAAGGGTTGATGTACCAAAATTGGAGAGTGCAAAATCTGATACAGCACTTCACAGAAAGCAATCAGCTTACAGTTTTTTTTTTTTCACCATAGCTTAATTGAACAAACTGAAGTTAGAAGCGGATTGGCTACCATGCACAGCAGCACCAGATTTTGCACTCTCCAGTTTTAGTAAATCAACCCTATTGCCTACCTTTTACTTTTCCCTTTGAGACCCTGTTAAAAGCAAGGCAATGCAATGCAATGCAATGTCTGGCCAAAAGTATCTCTTAGAACGACTTCAGAAAAAACACAACTGACCACTTAGAAAGGATTGCACTTTAATAAAGCCATACAGATATAATGAACTTTTTTTAATTTTTTTTATTATTTTATCTACATCTCGGCAAGCTGCCATCAAAATCCCAAACCTAAAATTAGAAGGAAGGAAGAGGATTATTCCCCTAACAGTTTATTTCATAACTGAGGACCATAACTAAGATATCAATTGTACATATCAACAGGAATATTTACACAGATTTCAAGGTAAAGTGCCCCTTGAAAGACTTGCCTGCAAACACAAACTGTGTGGAGATATGAAAGTATAGATAGAATGCACAAATACAGAATAAAAATGACATCGATCTTGTGAATGCATGCACACCCTCCCCATTATTTGGTATAAAGACATTCAATATTAATTTCTTCACATTAGGGCAGTCTAGTTACTTCTTGATGATACATTCATACAGGGGGATTCAATAAAGCATTAGCACCACTTTCTGGTGGTATGGCCCCTCAAAATATCCTGCACCAAATTCAAATGCCCTGCTCCAGTTTGGTAGCTTTACCAAAACACGAGGCAGATTCAGGTAGTTACTAAGAGCACCACTTTTACAAAGTGGCACTATTACTGCACCAAATTCAAAAATTATCTCCAGTTTGTAGAAAACAAAACTGGGAGGTAATGAAGAGCAACCATAAGTTGGTGTACAGAGACAGGCAGACAGCCTATCTCTGTACATTGTATAGCAGGACAACATGCTTGTCACTGCTACCCCCCTTCCCTGCCCTCCTGCCACTGGTTGTTAAGGATGCTGTCAGCTTCAGATGACTGTCTCCTAGCCTGCTAGTAATGCAACAGTGAGCAGAGGCTGATGGGGAAACAGACACTAGTTCCCCATCATGTCTGCTCTCTCCTTGTGACTGACAGCAAGCAGAATCCATAGTCTACTGTAGGCTGTCTATTGGCTGTGGATCCACCTGCTTCCTGCAATCAATCACAAGGGGAGTGGATCTGACAAGGAAACTAGTGTCCCTAAATCCTATCAGGATCTGTGTACCCAGCTTAAAAAATTCTCGCCTGCTACATTGTCTACGTGACAGCTGCAGTGTCAGAGAAGGAGTCCATCTACATTGAATATAGAGTGTCTGTATGGACACTCTAGTCTCAGTGCACCTCCAACAGTGAGTGCCCCAAATTCACATACCTGTGTATACCAGGTTCATGAATCTGTCACCCCGCACCAGCATTTCTCGTGCTGATGCATGATAGAATTCTAAAGGATGCGTAGACAAGCTTTATGAATTTCCCTGAGAGTGGCTTTACTATAAGGCTACATTCACACCTCTGCATTCTAGTGTGGTGCATTAAAAAAAAATAAAAAAAATCATACTTTCTGTTAAACACACCTTCTAAAAGGATGAATGTTATTGCATGTAAAATACACTGCTCTGCAACTGCACCACAGAAAAAAAATCAGATGTGTATGTGTAGATTACAGGGTTACTCCACTATCAGAGTAGTTCCTGTAGCTGTCACAGTCTCAGCAGCCTGTACACAAATATATACTTGGAGACAAATTGAAGAGATGAGAGTTGTTCACATATTTCTGATGGGTCCCTGCATGTCCCAGCTTCTGTATATATTTTACCATATGAAAGAAAAAAAAAATGCCCATGGTAACCAATAAAGAGGGATGACTTGTCCAGAGCTCCCATGAGATTCTTCTTCCTCAGCACAGCAGATGTATTTAAACACAATCCTGGACCAGCAGACTATAGTAAGGGTGATAGAGTCATTTCTTCAGATAAGGTAATGGCTACCAAAAAGTGCAATCATCCCTGAAGATAAATCACAAACAGGCTAATGGTCTTTATTTTAAATGCCAGAATTGTACTAATCGGCTCATTTAAAATGGAATTAGTTAAAACTTGGGGAGTTGTGTAGCTATCCAACCAGTTGATGCACATAAGGAACATAAATACCTCTAAAAGAGTCAATTCTGAAAATAAACTTACATGGAATCCTTTAGTAGAAATCGGAAGGTACTGCATACCTGAAAAGTATGAGACAGCTGGCTTAGCTATTAAAGGAGAACTTGTATTACATGCTCTCGTTGCTTAGGGCCTGTGTCAACAAGCTTTGGGTTTGTGCTGATGGCCTCAGTTTGAGATGCTTCTGATTCATTCAGAATCCACTGACAGGTGCATCTGGCCTGCGGCTGACCTCTTTCAAGAGGGTGTTGAATTCCGATAGATGTGTATGGGAATGTAAAAAATGCTTGAAGCATACAGGTTGACATAGGCTCCTAGTTTTTCATAAGATTTGGCAGAGTTGCCATCAATTTTAGCATCTGGCCATTTTGTTACTTTAATTTTAATTCAGGCTGATCATAAATAACTATTTCCTTTGTAGGCAAATTTCACCCAATTCCCTAATCAGATGACATTTGCCTTCAAAGTAAATAGTTTTATGATCAGCTTGACCATTCAGATGTTACAATGGATAAGAACTGAAGTAATTCCTCATACAGCAGCATCATAACAAGACTTGTAATGGATTGTCCCTTCATCCTAAAACAAAACTTTTTTTTTTTTAAAGCAGAAAATACATGGATTTATCAGTCAATTAAGTGTTCTGGCCCAGAAAGAAAGGGTAGTCAACAGGGTGATGGAAGACAGGAAAGTAATTATCCCATCTTCCAGGGAGCAAGACAAACTTTTAAAAACAAAAACTACATTTTAAAGAGGAAGTCAAGGCAATTTTGTTTTCAGCAGCAGCAATCCTTACACCCTAATCAATGTGCGTGACCTTTCACATTACTGCTTTGTAGCTAGCATTCTTAACGTATTAGGCAAGACAGCTCAGCTCCTATAGGCAGTAGCTGTGGATCCACAATAACATTGCAGTAATCCCATTGCATGCACCATGGCTCAGAATGTACATTGGAAGTTGAACCTCTCCGACACCGGCAGCCCTGCACCTCTCCCTCGGCCCATAGAGGCTGGCTATCGTGCCTACTACTTTGCTGAGCAGATCACCTAGTGTCATGTGGCTACAAATGTTACCAACCTCAGCATCTGCAGCAATCCCCATTCTAGGGTGCATCTGATGGAACCGGATTTTAAAAGACAACTTTTGAAGGTTTTTAATGCATTTACTGGGGAGTTTCCCTAGCACACCAAGCCTTTATTCTGATGCCATGACTTGCACACATATTGAAAAGAATCTAGAGTTTTATGCTAGCAAAACTTTTAGCGGAAAATGTCTTGATATAATCACTTCTTTTTATTACACCAACATTATCTAGATTAGACTTTTTCCGACTGTAGCCATACTACTGCAAACCACAATTATTCTTAAATAGGCACTTCCGAATAAAATGTAGACAGGTTTCATATTTTTAACAATGAGGGACTTTGGTATTAAATATAATAAAAAATACCACTCAAAGTACAAAAAAAAAAAAAAAAAAAAATGTAAACAGTGCAGAAGATATTCATAAAGGACCCGTATGAAGCCACGGAGGTAGAGAAACCGTGGCAGAGATTGGGCCCAAATTTTTCAAAATCTCTCTGGTTGATCTTTGCATTAATGAGAAGTGAGCACATATACATACACATGTATAAAAAGAAAAAAAAAAAAATACTGGTTTCATATGTAAAACTGTACACTGCTAGATGAGATCTGTCCTTTTTGAATTCTCATTCTGACAAGTTACAGGTTGGTAACCACAGACTAAATCTGTGCCGATACTGTTCCCGAATTCCAGATTGTTATTCTCGATGTACAAGGACAAACAGTCCAAGCAGGAACAAAACTGCATACTGAAAAGACAAAGAATAATTTATTACATATAGCTGCTTTCCTTTTACGGTTAGTTTTTTAGTAACAAGTTCAAACAAATGTATAATATACAGAAAACTTACACAGACTTGCTCAGAAAATAATTCTTATTTTACTTTCTCATTCTAACTGTGGTAACCCAGATCAACCAATAATAGTTCACTCTGCCATAGTCAGAACAATATGTTTCTGTTTGGTTGAAAAGTAGAAATACACCCAAAGCAATCAATAGGAATTCACTCTGCTGAAGTCACTCTACAAATAAGTTTCTAATTCAAACCCTTTCAATAACATTTTTTTTTAATTTTTACTCTGCATCCAAAAATACCCTTTTGGGATCTAAATGATCCTGAAATGTCATAGCAGCTGCAAACACTATATTATGGATAACTCTTCCTTCAGTCCATCATCAATGCTGCTGCCAGGTTCATCCACCTTATCAACCGTTCAGTGTCTGCTACTCCTCTCTGCCAATCCCTCCACTGGCTTCTGCTCACCAAACTAATTAAATTCAAAATACTAACAATTTGCAATGCTATCCCCAAATCAGGCTCCAGCTACATCACAAACCTGGTCTCAAAATCCCAACCTAATCGTTCTCTTCGTTCCTCCCAAGGCCTCCTGCTCTCTAGCTCCTTTGTCACCTCCTCTCATGCTCACCTCCAGGACTTGTCCCGAGCCTCTCCCATCCTATGGAACTCCCTAACCCAATTTGTTTGAACATCTCCTACTTGTTTCCTTTAAGAAGATCCCTAAAAACTCTTCTCTTAAGAGAAGCCTATTCTGCCCTCGCCTAACAACTGTACCTTTTTTTTTCTCCATCAGCTCGTCCCCCACAGCTATTGCCTCTACACTCTTAGATTGTAAGCTCTAATGAGCAGGGACCTGATTCCCCCTGTATTGAATTGCATTGTAACTGTACTGTCTGCGCTCATATTGTAAAGTGTTGCACAAACTGTTGGCGCTATATAAATCATTCTATGCTTGAAGGTAAAAAACCTTCTGTGTGCAGAAGCCCCCCTAATACTTACCTGAGCCACCAATCCAGCAATGTGCACAAGAGCCTTGGCTCTCCGGGGACTCTCCCACCTCATCACAGCCAGCGAGCAACTGAAAAGGGGGGCGGGGCCGAGCAGCAGCTGTGTATGTGAATGGAAACGCAGAGCAGCGGCTCGGGAGCGAGCCTGCTTGGGTGCCCCCATAGCAAGCTGCCTGCTCTGGAAGCACTCGGCAGGAAGGAGCAAGGAGCATTGGCGGGGGACCAGAGAAGAGGAGGATCGGGACTTCTCTGTGCAAAACCACTGCAAAGAGCAGGTAAGTATAACATGTTTGTTATTTTAAATATTGCCTGCCGATTTACAGGACCTAATTGCTTTTTCATCTGACTAAATGAAGCCCAAGTTTTTGTTGATATCTGACACAGCTTAGTACTCATAGAAAACCTATTGAATAAAAATACAGTAACACAGATTACTATACAGCTTCAAGTAGCTTCAAATGGAATAAATGGTTACAATTATTTTGAGAAGGGAAAACACCTTACCTTAAATTTAGGGTAGTCATTCATGAGAATGGTTACAATTCCTATATAGGGCACAAACCTGAAATATAAGGAAAGGAGTACATAAAATACTGTCAATTCATATTCACAAAAGTTTATTGAATGGCAGGTAAATACTGTCACCTACTGAACCCCATACTCAAGTACACAAGTATCTGTGCATAGAAACTATATGTAGATGCAATGTGACACCGCCTATAAACACCACATTTTTCTACCTTGGGCCACTCTATAGTGATAAAAGCACTCTGGTGGTGAGGAGCAACAGAACACCATGATCATTGTTAGTGGCTATAGCCACTGGCAATAACTGCATGAAAAATCTGACAGGCTGGTTGTACCAAAGTCATACAACAATTGATTTAGGTACAATCAGCCTGCCCATACAGTCAGGTCCATAAATATTGGGACATCGACACAATTCTAACATTTTTCGCTCTATACACCACCACAACGGATTTGAAATGAAACGAACAAGATGTGCTTTAACTGCAGACTGTCAGATTTAATTTGAGGGTATTTACATCTGAATCAGGTGAACGGTGTAGGAATTACAACAGTTTGCATATGTGCCTCCCACTTGTTAAGGGGCCAAAAGTAATGGGACAATTGGCTTCTCAGCTGTTCCATGGCCAGGTGTGTGTTGTTCTCTCATTATCCCAATTACAATGAGCAGATAAAAGGTCCAGAGTTAATTTCAAGTGTACTATTTGCATTTGGAATCTGTTGCTGTCAACTCTCAAGATGAGATCCAAAGAGCTGTCACTATTAGTGAAGCAAGCCATCATTAGGCTGAAAAAACAAAACAAACCCATCAGAGAGATAGCAAAAACATTGGACGTGGCCAAAACAACTGTTTGGAACATTCTTAAAAAGAAGGAACGCACCGGTGAGCTCAGCAACACCAAAAGACCCGGAAGACCACGGAAAACAACTGTGGTGGATGACCGAAGAATTCTTTCGCTGGAGAAGAAAACACCCTTCACAACAGCTGGCCAGATCAAGAACACTCTCCAGGAGGTAGGTGTATGTGTGTCAAAGTCAACAATCAAGAGAAGACTTCACCAGAGTAAATACAGAGGGTTCACCACAAGATGTAAACCATTGGTGAGCCTCAAAAACAGGAAGGCCAGATTAGAGTTTGCCAAATGACATCTAAAAAAGCCTTCACAGTTCTGGAACAACATCCTATGGACAGATGAGACCAAGATCAACTTGTACCAGAGTGATGGGAAGAGAAGAGTATGGAGAAGGAAAGGAACTGCTCATGATCCTAAGCATACCACCTCATCAGTGAAGCATGGTGGTGGTAGTGTCATGGCGTGGGCATGTATGGCTGCCAATGGAACTGGTTCTCTTGAATTTATTGATGATGTGACTGCTGACAAAAGCAGCAGGATGAATTCTGAAGTGTTTCGGGCAATATTATCTGCTCATATTCAGCCAAATGCTTCACAACTCATTGGACGCCACTTCACAGTGCAGATGGACAATGACCCAAAGCAGACTGCAAAAGCAACCAAAGAGTTTTTTAAGGGAATGAAGTGGAATGTTATGCAATGGCTAAGTCAATCACCTGACCTGAATCCGATTGAGCATGCATTTCACTTGCTGAAGACAAAACTGAAGGGAAAATGCAACAAGAACAAGCAGGAACTGAAGACAGTTGCAGTAGAGGCCTGGCAGAGCATCACCAGGGATGAAACCCAACGTCTGGTGATGTCTCTGCGTTCCAGACTTCAGGCTGTAATTGACTGCAAAGGATTTTCAACCAAGTATTAAAAAGTGAAAGTTTGATTTATGATTATTATTCTGTCCCATTACTTTTGGTCCCTTAAGAAGTGGGAGGCACATATGCAAACTGTTGTAATTCCTACACCGTTCACCTGATTTGGATGTAAATACCCTCAATCAAAGCTGACAGTCTGCAGTTAAAGCACATCTTATTTGTTTCATTTCATTGGTGTATAGAGCCAAAAATGTTAGAATTGTTTCGATGTCCCAATATTTATGGACCCGACTGTAGATGGCTTGAATCTCCACTGGTCCCTGATGACAAGATTCGAACCATCTATGGCCAGTATATGCATGATGTGTAGCAGTGCCATTTCCTGTGAACACCCCTCCAACACACTGTACAATAGTGCCCTATGCACCCGCACTGCAGCACATCAAAATGAACATAACATATAAAAAAAAAGATATTTGCCTGCGTTGTCATAATAGGGCTGATTTAACAAAATGCTGGTTAGAGCCTGACACAATGCAGTGCAAAAGTATGAACACATCATAAAGTTTGACAACCGGCTTTGTAAATTATTTGTCTAAGTTTACCAGTATGGCCATAAATCACAGCATCATCTATTATGTGGGATGGGGTGATGGAGCAAGGAGGACAATAAACAGGCAAATGATATACTTCTCTATCCAGGGATGCACGATTTAGATATCCCCATTCCCAGGGCATGCAGTTCCAGGCGCTAGTCAGGTGGATTTTTATACATTTAGCCCTGCTGCAGGCAAGCAGCTTTTGCTCCTTTCTGGGCAACAAGCTTCATGCAATTTGTCATGACTGCGTGCAGTGAATCATGTGACAATCATGGCAAATCCTCACTGCGTTTTAGGTGCCATTGAAAATAATGACACCTGAACCAGCATTTTGCGATTGTAGTGTATTTTAAGATTGCGGGCAGAATTGCAGCGATTCTGCCACAATTCCAAAATTCCCAAGTGTGAACAGGGCCTACTGGAGTGGACACTGGAGCTTGATTGGGCTGCTCAGCAGGCACTAGTACGGAGAACTCAAATGCTTCCATGTGTGAGGGTAATCTGAAGGAATAATAATAAAGTTTTATTTTTCCTCACTGGGGCCGGCACCTTTATTTACTTGCTCATCAGATGCGCTTCTGCTGAGCGTTGAAGGAGCCCGACGCTCCCTTTTCTTAAGTACCCAATCAGTGCTCATTACACCGCAAGGTCTCTCCCCTCCCTGCTAGTCCCCGGGTGCGGTGCTGGAGACAAACAGGGAGGCGAGTAGGAGATAAACAGCGCAATATTAAAAACATTCAAAGTTTAGGTTTCCATACAGCCTCATTTGTTTTTAAAAGCCCCAGACAAACCCAAAAGCACTTAAGATTTAAATATGGTTTTGGTAAATTTTTTTAATCAGGACAAGTACATTGTCATGAGGGACAAGTAGATTGGAACCCTGATTTAGTCCTCGGACAAGCATTTTTAAAAAATAATTTCCACAACCCTGCTTTCCTAGTCTTAAGTTACTATATTACTTCAGCAAAGTCAACCATGGAAAATACATAGGTAAAGTGATATTAAGCCCAAATTTCGGGTATAGATATTTTTACATAGTTGCATTGGTCCACCGCTTAGCGTGGGCATCATACAGAGAATGCATTGCATTCTCAACAAATATAAAGTGTTGTCTGATTGGATGAGGTGGAGAGGGTGAATTCACCACCCCATCTCTCCACCTTGCCCATTAGAGAAAGCTTTGTATTCACTGAGAAATCGCACTCACCTCCTGTGCTCAGAATGCAGTACGACAGACGCTCAGCACATGACCTGGAAGCACATGGAGATCACTGTAGTCACGGTGTCTGCTACAGTGATTTCCAGCTTCTACAGCAGTGTTTCTTAACCTTTTTTGAATCACAGACCCCTTCAAGAATCTGATGAAAACCAAGGACCCCTCAGAGATATGATGCACACAAAGTTTGAATCAACAATCTTAACAAAAAACTCACTCCTTTTCATGCAAAAAGTAAAGGCCAATCCTTACAAAAATGAAATACAATCATCTTGAGCAAATTAAACAAAACAATTTTAATTCTGCTTAAATCTACTACTACTAGAAAATGAGAATTAGCACTTACTAATATGGTATGGCACAAGATGGCAGTTGTTCAGAGAATGAGGATACAAATGTAAATGCTAAAAACATGGGCAACAAGTCAAGAGACGCCTAAGGGATAAGTTCACCTTTCGTAACATGTAACATCCATATTCAGGGTGTAACATATAACATGTTACAAATGAACTGTTTACTAGTGCAATGATTTAGAGGCTCCAGAAACAAAAAATAAATGCATTTTTTTTACCTGAAAAGTGTGCATTTATTATTTTTTGTTAAAAGGTGAACTTCTCCTATAACAGTTGGTACTATAAGAAGTGGCAGGGTGCGTTTTCTTTAATTTCTCTAATTAGGAAACTATTAAAGTAGGACAAGAAGGGGAGGCAGTATAGTGAATGTAAATGTTATATTTTATCTTACCCTCACAGACCCCCTAAAACCCATCCAAGGACCCCAGGTTAAGAACCCCTGTTCTAGAGGGATCTCACAGGTATGGAATAAGCATAGTTGTATTGGTCCAGGCATGACAGATGTAACTACACTGCTCAAAACAATTAGTCCTCATGCGCACTGGACATTTTTACAGCTGATGTTTTTTGGCTTTTGACATTTTTTCGACAGCTAGAAAACCCCTCAGCAAGTTATCCTATGTGTCCAAGCACACAGACTGTAATCAACATTTTTTGGCAGGGACGTTTTTTTTCGGCTGGAAAAAAAACCCAGAACTAGTTGGTTTCTAGAGGAGTTTTTTAGCTGTAAAAACGCTCTAACACTGAAAAACTGTAAAACAGCAAAAAGCTGCAAAACACCGAAAACCGGCGTTTGACTTTTGTTTTACCAAAATTAATTTTTTTTGGGAAAAAAACACTGAAAAACGGCGCTAAACATGGCAAAACGCAAATGCAAAAACGCTAAAAAAAAGCTGAAAAACTCACATTTTGAACGTGACTTTACACAGCTAATGTTACCAGCGTTACCAAAACACCAAGTGTGCATGGAGACCTAAAGGAACTCTTTGAAAACACATCAGATCTCAATGGGGAAAAATATCATGCTGGATATCTATACTGATATGGACTGGGTAGTGTATTAGGAACTTAAGGATGCCCTATCATTTGATGGAAATAAAAATTATCAACCTACAGAGGACTTAATTCAAAGATACCCCGAAA